GGGAGAGGAGTATGGGACGGGGAGGGGGAGAGGAGTATGGGACGGGGAGGGGGAGAGGAGTATGGGATGGGGTAAGACGAGATTGGGGGTGGTGGCGACGGGGTGAGAGAGAGCGTGAGGGAGAGAGCGAGAGCAACGCATGGCGTAAAGACTGATGTGAGAGGGGAGGTCCGCTCCATGGGGAACTGGCCTCAGTGCTGCATCAATGGAACACTCTCCACCTGCATGAACCTTGCTGTGGTCATCGTTCTCAACAGTCTTAGAGGGAACAACAAACCAATGGAGGAGAGGGAGAAACTCAAAAACGACAACGATCAGGGAAGGGGTACGGTGTAAACCGATGGAGCTGGCGGCTTATGAACTTGGTTGCAGGGTTTTGAAAGAAGCGGCTCAAGGCACAGTTGATGCAGTGGCTTTTGTCTCCCAAAATCCCCTGGATTTAGGGAAGGCTCCCATCAATCATAACACAACAATCGTGACTCCTTTACTCAGAAAGGGAGGCAGAAAGCAGGAAACTCCAGGTGATTTAGCTTAACACCTGTCACAGGGAAAATGGGGAAAAAAAAAATCAAGCTATTTCTAAAGAAGTTACAGCAGGATAAGATCAAGGTCATCAGCAGAGTCAATATGGTTTGGTGAAAGGGAACTCGTATTTGACCAATCTGTTGAGCGGAGGCAGGGCGGAGGGTAAACAGAAACCAGTGGATGTTCCGTAGTCAGGTTTCCAGAAAGCATTTGATAAGGTGCCAAGTCAAGGGTTAGTGCATAAAATTAAAGTTCACGGTGTTTTAGGAGCGGAAGGGTATCTTATTGATATGAATGGAAGGCTGCCTAGCTACATAGTAGGCATAAATAGGTATTTTACAGGTTGGCAAGATGTAACGAGTAGTGTGTCACGAGGATCATTGCTGGGGCCTTAACTGTTTACAACTTATATCAATTGATGAAAGGTATGGCAGTGAAATTTGCTGATGTCACAAGGGTAGATAGGAAATTAAAGTCATAACAAGGCCAAAAGGCAGCAATGTAAAGATATAGCTGGGTCAAGTGAATGGGCCAAGATGTGGCAAATGGAGTACAATGTGGGAAAGTGTGAAATTGTCCATTCTGGCATGAGGAATGAAAAAAGAAGCATGTTATCTACATGGTGAGAGGTTGCACAGCTCTGAGATGCGGAGGAATCGGGTGTCCTAGAGCACAAATCAAGTGGGCTGCCAAGCAAGCAGACAGCCTGGATGGTGTTGTTGGAGCTGCCAGGGGCAAGTGGGGAGTATTCCATCACACTCCTGACTTGTGCCTTATAGATGGTGGGACAGGCTTTGGGGGAGACATGAGAATTCCCTGCTCTTATAGCCACTGTGGCTAGTCCAGTTCAGATGTTGGTGAATGGTAACCCCCAAGAGATGTTGACAGTGTGGAACTCAATGTTGAGGATGCTACTGAACGTCTAGGGGTGTTGGTTAGATTCTCTTGCTTTAGAAATGGTCATTTATGCCACACAACATTACTGAGACATACCAAAAATTGCTTTGGGGATGGACTAGTTGGGTCGAATACGATGCTTCGATGTTCTACCTATTCAGATCTACGATACTCACAGTTGAGAAGTGTCCCCTGGCAGGCAGGCAGGCTGAGTTAATACTTACCCCCGATAACCAAGTAACGGAAGAAGAGCCAGCCGCTGATGAGAGGCTCCTTGGGGCTGCGTGGAGGTTTGCTCATGATGTCCAGGTCGGGAGGATTGAAGCCTAGAGCTGTGGCCGGCAGTCCATCCGTCACCAAGTTCACCCACAGCAGCTGCACGGGGATCAGAGCCTCAGGAATACCCATAGCGGCCGTCAGGAAAATACTGGTGGCGAGGAGTAGAGAAAGAAAACATGTCAGACTGGAACAGAGAAAGATGAAGAGGTCAAGGAGGGAGAGCACTGGGACAGTAGGGAGGGATGGTGGTAGGGAGGGATGGTGGTGGGCAGGAATGGGGAACTACGTACTGAGGTGGATGGAGATGCCAGAGAATAAAGAAGTTTTGTGTGAAAATATTCTTTCAGAGGAATGAGAGTTTGACAGAGTGTCAGCATTTATTGCCCCGTCCCTAACTGCCCCTTCAGAAGGCGCAGGTGAGCTGCCTTCTTGAACCATTGCAGTCCATGTGCTGTGTGTTGACCCACAATGTCCCTTAGGGAGGGGATTCCAGGATTCTGACACTGAAGGAACATGGATATATTTCCAAGTCAGGATGGTGAGTGGCTCGGAGGGGAACTTGCAGGGGGTGGTGTTCCCATGTATCTGCTGCACCTTGTCCTTCTGGATGGAAGGTGCTGTGAAAGGTGCCTGGGTGAGTTTCTGCAGTGCATTGTATAGATGGTACACACTGCTGCGACTGAGTGTCGGTGGTGGAAGGGAGTGGGATGTTTGTGGATGTGGTGCCAATCGAGCGGGGGCTGCTTTGTCCTGGATGGTGTCGAGCTTCTTGAGTGTTGTTGGAGCTGCCCCCATCCAGGGGCAAGTGGGGAGTATCCCATCACCCTCCTGCCTTGTGCCTTGTAGATGGTGAGACAGGCTTTGGGGGGAGACAGGACAGGAGTTACTCACTGTAGGACTGTCCAGATTCTGAATGCAAATGAGTTTTGTAATTGGCCATGGCTTTGGGCCTGAGGGATTGGTTTGGATTCTGGGATAAGGATGGTCTGTGGTGGGCTGTTGATTCTCTCCCAGTTCCCAGACTCACTCACCAGACCACCTCCCCAATGTTGGAAGAGATGAGGTAGCGAATGAACTGCTTCATGTTGTTGTAAATGGCCCTGCCTTCCTCCACTGCAGCCACTATGGTGGCAAAGTTGTCATCAGCCAGCACCATCTCTGAGGCACTCTTGGCCACCGCTGTGCCTGATCCCATGGCGATTCCGATCTCTGCCTTCTTCAGGGCTGGAGCATCGTTCACTCCGTCACCCGTCTGCAAGAGACAGCGCAGCAGGGACAGGCTCCCAGTGAGCCAACATTCCACTCTGAACCCAGAGTACAACCTCCCTCCCTATTTCTGTAACCTCCGCCCTCCCCTACAACCCCTCCCTATCTCTGTAACCCCCTCCAGCCCCTACAGCCCCTCCCTATCTCTGTAAACTCCTCCAGCCCCTACACCCCCTCCCTATCTCTGTAACCCCCTCCCTATCTCTGTAACCCCCTCCGGCTCCCACAACCCTTCCGTTCCTACACCCCTCCCTATCTCGGTAACCCCCTCCGTCCCCTACACCCTCTCCCTATCTCTGTAACTCCCTCCGGCCCCTAAACACCTCCCTATCTCTGTCACCTCCTCCAGCCACTTCTACCAACTATGTCCCTGTAAGCGCCAGCAGGTCCCATATTCACCCGTTCCCGAGGGCCCAACACCCACCCATCACACTCTTTGTGCACTCACTCCCTCCCTCTCGGTGGGCCCTAGTCCCTCCCGGTGGGCCGCACTCATTGCACACTGACCATGGCAGTGACCTCATCCAGTGACTGCAGGAACTCGATGATTTTGGATTTGTGGGATGGTTCGACACGAGCGAAGCAGCGAGCATTCTGAACAGCCTCGCGCTGGGCAGACAGGCTCAGCTCATCAAATTCTCGGCCGGTGAAAGCCTTGAGGCCCACTTCCTCGTCCAGCCCAAAGATGCCAATCAGCCGGCAGATAGCCACCGCTGTGCCCTTGTTGTCGCCAGTGATCATGATGACATGGATTCCTGCCTGGCGGCAGAGCCGGATTGAATTGGTAACCTCCTTCCGAGGTGGATCCAACATCCCCACACAACCCACAAAGGTCAGGTCCATCTGTGGAGGGGGGGGTGTGGGAAACAACAGAGAGAGGGAGATATTAAATATCGCACAGGGGAGAGCACCTGTTAAACATCACAGCGCAAGTGGGAATTGGGGGACAAAGGTGGAGGGGGGGGGTGGTAAAGAGAGAGGGGTATGGATACAGTGAGCATGAGACACCGACCTGGGAGGTGGGGTGAAGCAAGCGAGAGACAGACAGATGGACAGAGAGAGACACAGAGAGGGTGAATGGGGAGGTTGGGGGGGGTAGGGATGTGCGGGGGCGGGTGGGCGCGCACGGTGATGGAGGGAGAGAGACACACAGACAGACAGAAAGAGAGTCAGTGAGATCAAACATCTGAGGGGGACAGAGTGTGAAGGTACATTAAACATGAGAAAAAGAGAATGCATTAATTAGCAGAATGAGAATTTGCAACCAAACCTCAGAGGACAGACAGCATTATACATCAGAGCAAGAAGGGAAAACAAAGAGGGACCATTAAACATCAGCAAGAGTGTTATCAAATATCAGAAAAGGGGAGAGAGAGAGGCGGCATCTGATGGAGAGATCAAATGTAAGAGAAAAAGAAAGATATAGGGACCATTAAACATTGGAGAGAAAAGGCAGAAGTGTTGAAACATCAGATAGAACGAGAGAGACAGAACTTTGAATATTAGGCATAATATGAGGGGTGGGGGTGGAAGAGTGGAACCTTGGAGATGGGGCCAGGGAAGTGGGGGGGTAGAAAGAGCAGAAACTCAGAGATGGGAGGAAGAGTGAAACAGAGAAGTTGAGAAATTAAACTTTGGAGAGGGAGACAGAAAGTGAAAAATCAGGGAGAGTTATGGCTTAATATCAAAGAGCTCTTCACCATCTCTCACTGCTGAGAGAGGGAGGAGAAAGACAGAAGGAGATGGGGAAAAACTCCGATTTCATGAGTGCTTTGACTACCTTAGGACATCCCGAGTGCCTCATGCCGAAGTGTGATGATTCCGAGTGTGCGTGGTAGCAGTACACAATGCTGAGAGTCCTGATCAGGACTCTGCACTGCCCCAGCAGCCCAAGAGAAAGTTCCCAGCACCCCGTACACAACCCTGTGCCTCTCACCTCATACTCAGCAAATAAGCTGGGGTCCTCGAGCTTCAGCTGTTCCTTCTTCAGGGGATGGTCCCGGGTTGCCAAGGCTAGGCACCGGAGCGTATCACGACCTGATCCCCACTCCCGAATCACTGCCAGGAGCTGATCCTTCACGTTAGCTGTCAGAGGGTATTTCTCAGAGCCCACCCGAATAAAGCGGCACCTCTCGATCACTCCCTCGGGAGCACCCTGCAATCAGAGAGATACAACACATTCAGTACAGGATCACCTGGGTGGGGAGAAGGGGAGGCAGGGGAGGGAGAGACAATGTTATTGGGAAGCCAGAAGAGAGTTAGACCACAGGGATAGCGGCAGAGTTGCTGGGAGGTTGGAGGGGGGAACAGAAGGAACTGGAGGGAGGAAGGATGCACAAAGACTTGAAGGGTCAACATGTGAAGAGCGATCAGACGAACCTTGACGAACATTTTAGCTCCAGCTGAGGTACGGCTGGGTTTGTTAGGAGAGCAGAGTACAGACATCGACTTGCGATCCCGAGAGAACTCCAGGGTTATCTCCTTCTTCATCAACTGTTTGATGACCTGCGAGGGAAGAGAGGACAGTGAACTCTAACACGATGTAAGAGAAGGAATGTTCCCCACTACTCCAACTTTCCCCTTCCTGAGGCGGCTCAGTGGGTTAGCACTGCTGCCGCACAGCGCCAGGGAGGGACCTGGGTTCGATTCCAGCCTTGGGCAATCGTCTGTGTAGAATTTGCATGTTCTCCCCATGTCTGCGAGTTTCCTCCGGGTGCTCTGGTTTCCTCCCACAGTCCAAAGATGTGCAGGTTAGGGGGATTGGCCATGCTAAATTGCCCTGTAGTGTCCAGGGTTGTGTAGGGTAGGTTGATTAGCCATGGGATATACAGTGTTACAGGGGTAGATTGGGGGTGGGGGGGCAGTCTGGATGAAATGGTCTTCCGAGAGTCGGTGTGGACTTGATGGGCCAAATGGCCTGTTCCCACACTCTAGGGATTCTATGATTCCATACCCTGGACGACTGTCGAGAGGACAGTCATTAAATTGTACAACCTTTCAGCACCCTCATTTTTTTACAACCTATTTTTCCAATTAAACCTGTTCAGAGATGTTATTACACACCTTTGAAACAGGCTGAACTGGAACCCAGGCCTGCTGGTTCAAGGGTAGGTACACTACCAGAGGAGGGCTCAGCATTCTCATTACGCACCCAAACAGAAAGACCAGGAGGCCATTCAGCCCCTTCTTCAGCCTGTTACACAGAAATAGGTTTAGTTCAAGTAAATTATATCTAGTTGGCTCTCACCTACACACCTGGTCATCTCTTTGAAAACCTCCATTGCTCAATCTCCATCTCCATTCCTCTGTCCAAGCCCACAAACTCACTCGCGCTCTTCCTACACATTCTGTAATCCAATCATCTGAACACTCACATCACTCTCTCACTCTCTCTCCACATCCCCCTGTCCAATACCCAAACTCTCCAGTCTCTCTCGCTCCCTCCCATCCCTCTGTCCAATCCCAAGACGTCCCCGTCAGTCACTCTGTCTCTTGCTCTCTGTTTCTGTGTGCATCTCTCCAACCCTCCTTACCTTCTCTTTCACCCCCACATTTAACTGCCCAAGGTGACCACCCCAACACCTCAGTGCCCCCTCACTCACCGAGCAGCATGCGTTGGCCCTCTCCACCTTGGTCAGGCCTTTGAGGTTAGTGTCAAACACATTCATTTTCTCCACCAGGCAGCATAGGGCAGTCTCGGTTGCCTCGCCCACCTTCTCATACACCCCTTTCACCTGGCGGGAACGGGAAGAGAACCACAGCTCAGACACTGGCACCTCGGGACAGGGGGGGGGGGGGGGGGGGGGTGTCTGGCAGGGCAGTATGGGGATAAAGGGGAGTCACAAAGATGGCATAGGGGTGAAGACCGTGGATATGGTACGTACCTCATTATAATCCAGTGACGAGTCATTACACAAGGCACAGATGGTAGCCAGCTCGATCAGGGCATCGTACTGCCCGCAGTGGACCACATGCCCGTTCCTCAATCTGTTCAACAAGAAGCAGCACATCAATCCCGCTGACCCAGCAACAGTGCCATCTGGCTGGAGACACTGGGTCCCAGGACACAGCCAGCTCAGGCCTGACACAGGAGAGTCCCGAAACACAGCCCAGCTCCGATACCACCACCCCATCACTGAACCTTCTCCCCAGGGCCAGGGCCATAAGCTTCAGCCTACCCCCAAAACCACCACCAAGCCCCTCCCAGCCTTTCCAAATGCTCTTCTCAGACGAGAGGCAACATACTCCTGGAAAAGCAGCAGCCAGAACTCCGGGGAAATACCTGTCCCCAGATTCGGATTGTGGGGCATGGGGAGAAACTTGTACATAGCCCCACCCTCTCTCACGATCAGAGTGAAGACACTGGAAAAGAGCATGGTCCCCTCCCCTCCACTCGAGGGGCTGGTTTTAAACTCACACTTCACCATCAGGTGCGTAGGTAGAGCCAGTGACCGTGAACTCGCTCAGAGTGCAGTGATCTCCCTCCAGCTTCTCCACGATGAACAGCTGTAAACAGACAAGTACCGTCACAGGGCGGCAACACTCCCAGCAGGCAGACAGGAGCAGTGATGAGGAGGAGGGAATGTGCCAGTGAGAGGCGGAGGAGCGGACGAGGACGAGGAGGGAATGCGCAAGTGAGGGGCGGGCGAGCGGACGAGGACAAAGAGGGGCCGAGTGAGAGGCGGGC